TCTCAACAAGAATTCTGTGTGCTTCAGCTGCAGATTTCTTTTGAATAAAGTAGTGCAGTAAAATTCTCCACAAATACACTTTCTTTGGCATGAATCCAACATGTTTAACACTATGAAAAACAAAGTTGTTCACACTTATATCGAAATGACATACACCGAATTTCAAACTTGCTTATAGTACTTCCTTATAGATGCATTACCATCTGAAACTACACAGACAGTTCTGAGAATGCCATCTGTTGGAAAACAGCAAGAACTTATTCAAGGACCTAATACTTGTGAATAAGCTGACTTCATGTATAATGCAACTCCTGAATTTTTTGCATCTAGAAAAACATACCTGTGTATAATGAAACTGGTCACTGAAAATGCATGATTTTTAACCTCATAAAAAAAAAAAAAAAATTCCCCGTGTATAGTGAGATCCTCTATTGTAAATTCATCATAAAAAATACATGAATATATACAGTAATTTCATTTAAAATAGTTGTGTATTCCTTCTTAGGTTTATCAGTTTGTGGTGTTAGTATGTTATTTGTGTGGCTGGCTTCTTGTAACTTGCATATAGACTAGGTACCACAAAAATAGGTACTGCCACAGAAACATGGTACCTAAGGTTTAAAAGGAATTTTTAAAATGAAATTTAAAATTCAATCTGATACATTAAATTTAATATTTCCAATAATATTTGCTGTATTTCAAAAATAATTTAAATTGACTGGAAGTTTTTATTTTGAAATCACTAAAAATCGCTGATTTTAGTGCCATTTGTAGCCATCACAATGTAATTGTCTTTATTAAAAAATCTTTCAAAAATAAAATTTACTGTTTAATTAATCTGATTTGATTACTTACTTTTAGTTTAAAATATTGCAGCAATTAATTTTTAACACAGACATAGGTGTTTATTTAAAATGTTTACAGCTTTATGTTTATTTGCTTAATGTTTAAATGTTTGCAGAAGGTTATCATTTTTTTTTTCCAGGTGGACATATCTGTAAAAGTTACTTGAGGAATATAACATGAATACATTCTTTTATAAAAAGTGAAAGTTCGGATTAATTTACATTGCAGGCAGCCATTACTGGCTTTGTTTGTACACATTTGCTGCAGAATAGCTATCAGTGTAGGTATCATTGTGCAAACTGAGCGTGTGTACATAAATAGTTCTCGTGTGCAGTAATTGAAGCAAATTTAGACAAGAAAGATCAGTTCCAAGCTTAATTTTCCATAATCTTCCGCAGCAAATGTATGCAAACAAGGCGAATAATGGCTGCCGCCAATGATGCAATTGAATTCCAAATTTCACTGTCAATAACTCCAAAACGATAGATTTTATCAAATTTATCAAGCCAGATTCGGATGGAGCATATACAATTACACATAAATTTTCTGGAAATTTTTTATGCTAAACTGAGTGCGGGTGTTACACTGCAAATTAACCAAATTTTTAACTACCTTGTAATCTTAAAAAATTTAGGAAAATATTCTCTATAATCTAGTGTTTTATTGAATTTTAGGTACTTTGGCTTTAAATTTACAAGTTATTGCTCTTATTTTCTGATAATGTTGTGTACGGATGTCTGTATTTACAAAAAAAATTTCAAAATCCTTTTTAAAATATTGTAGTAAGCTTTTCCATATTATACAGTTTTTATTTAATAACAATATCACATAACCAGTACAAATTAATACAGAAATTTAAAATATTTAAAACTTTATTAAAAAATGAAAACAATTCTTTGTAAAAATTCATTATTCATAGAAAATTTTTTTTTTTCTTAAGACAATAGTGTTAATAATATATCTTATAAAACTAAAAGCATTACTAATTAAATAATGTCCTAGTTTTATTGCATTTTTTTTATTTTACAATTCCGAGCAGACTGGGGGGGGGGGGTCCTATGTTACAAAAAAAAAAAAGATGATTTAAACTCTCCAAGAGTTTCAACTTATAACTAATATAAACATTATTAAGCAATACAAAAATTTTCTCAAAATTTCATAAAATCAAATACGTGGGGGCAGCAGACGTAAAAAAAAAAAGTTTTTACTAAGATTTTCTAAAAATTGTGAATAAGTCCTGAAATTTTTATTAAATTCCAACAATTATTTGATTTTTGCAATAATTTCCAAATCAATGTTTTTCAGCGCAAAAAAAGACACTAATTTCCCATATTAATCTTATGATCTGTTGATGCAAGAAAAACAAGATTTTTAACCAAAATTTCATGTATTCTAAAAACTAAAAAAGGATAAAGATAAGAGAATTATAATTTAATCAAAAAATCCCTTGGTCTTTTTCTTTTAATAAAATTTTTGTTGATAAATCTGTTTTCATTAAGTTTGCAACTTTTTTTCATCATGGCATGTTCACTTTTTAGTGAATCTGTAGAGCCAACTAAAATGGATGTTTTATCCAAAATTAAAGAAAAAAAAATTTTTGTTTTTTAAAATCTGACTACCCCCATTTTAAAAATTTTCAATAAGGCATTCGGTCATTATCAAATGTAAAAAAAAAAAAAAAAATCTTGTTCGTAAAAACCGTGATAATTACGAGAAGGCATTTACATTTTTTGTGACGGATTTTTGGAACGTCCATACACAATTACATTGTTTTGAAAAAAAAAAATGCTGGTTTTCTTTACTCCTTAATCATTTAGAATAGTATAGTTTTATAACTCAAGGGAGATTATTTTTCTAATTTCAAAATTAAACATTAGGAATTGTATGAAAGATCAATATTTTGATATTCTAGATCTTAGATAAATTAAAAAAAAAAAAAAAAAACAATTTTGTGATCAATGACCATGAGATATCGGAAACATATTTGCAAACAGCTTTAACTACAACACAAAATTAGTTAACTATGTCACGTATTGTAGAAATATGAAAATTTAATAAAATATAAATTTGATTTTAAAGAATTAAATGCTACTGCATAACATTTTAGTTTGATTAATTTTTACATTTGGGGGCTGTCGAAACTAAGGTTTTCGTTTTCTTTTTTTCAAATATGGCGTCTACAAAAAAAACTGGTATTTTTCTTTTTTTAACCAGAGGAAAATAATTTGGCCCTTTTTCAATTATTATATTTTCATGAATGGAAATAACTTTATTAAGAAAAACAATGAAACAACAACTTGGTTCCAGGTGTTTTAAGATACATTACTGGAGCTTGTGTATTTTTGTTTTACGTCGCACAGTTTACTTTACTAAAAAAAAGGATAAAGATTTTTGTTTGACTCATTTATTTTTAGTACTGTTGAATTTTTTCTTAATATTCCTACAAGCATTTTTAATAATTTTTCATTTTCTACAGACTCCTCTTCATTATTTACGAATTGACACTTGAGAAAGTGGATTCCCGTTACCTTTTTTTCACGGTTTTTAATTCAGAGTAGTCGTTCTCTTATATTGGCTGTCACATAAGGCTAGTCATTACAAACAAACTAGTGTTGGTATGCTATGAGTTTTGTTTGTACAATACGACTTGGCTTTTTTTGGTAAAAATCGCAGATTAGGACCCAAAAACCAATTTAAAAAAAAAAAAAGGCATCATTTCTGGTGTAAAAAAAGCCTGATTTCCCCCAAAATAGCATTAAAAATTTGCGTTTTAGGAAATACTGAAAATTTTTGTTTAGTCTTTTGTTTTTTTGTGTCTCGGTTACAGACTTTTACCGAATTTTTAACCAGAACCAGTGTCATGCACTCATGTCATAATGAAAATTAAAATTGAAGCCGGTTAAAAAACAAATAACGTTACGGTTAAAATAAATCTTTGAAAAGAATGGAATATTAAAAAATAAGTAAATAAATTCAGTTTTGTTTTGTATGCTAATGTCACTGTCAGGATAAAAATCGAAAATATTTCTCCAGCGAAAAAAAAAAAAAAAAAAATGTTGCGTAGTGAAATGATTTTTTTTTTTGCTGTAACAAATGAATGGATGAAAAGAAAATAAGTGTATATTTAAAAAAAAAAAAAATTAAGCTATTCTTCATTCGTGAGATGAAATAAAGAAAAACTTGATGTATCAAAAAGAAAAAAGGCGCATCGTTTCCCGTTCAGTTAAAGATTGTTTCTGTTTTTATGCGTACTTGTTGTGTGTGTAAGTATCGTTTCATAATAATGGTTAGCTACATAGAAGCAATGTTTCACTTCTGGAGTATAATTGGTTGTTTTTTTTAATTTTTTCTTTTGCGTTTTCAATAACATTAACACTTGACAGTAATTTACTTATTAATACAACACCAACTGTCGATTTACCTTTAAATAAACTATTTAGTGTTAAAAAGTACACATCCATTGCAAAAATGTCGGTTCATACAGAAATTTTTACTAATTTCTTTATACTAAATTAAATATGGGATTTTCGTAGCGTTGCACCTGACCAAGTGTAAAGGATCTGGAATTTGGTTTTTATTTTTATTAAATAAATCAAAGAGTTAATGATTTTCCGTAGATTTTATTACGTCTCAGATTGTTGGAATTTATGTGTGTGTTTGTTTTTCTCTATTAAAAAAATAAACAAAACATTAGTAGTCGAAAATCGAGTAGTTTTTATTCAATTGTGTCAGGACTACTACAGCTGTATATTTGGCATATTTTTCTTAAATTTTTCTGCTCATTACTTTTTAAAAATTGCTATTTGAACTGCATGTATTGAAACTGGAAATACTAGTAAATACCAGAATTGAATTTTCAAATTCTTTGCTTTCTTTTTGTTGTTTTTTCTCTCTCACAAATTAAGTTTCAAAAGAACACACGTCATTTAGCCAATCAAGACAATAACCTTTAAAAAAATTGTATAATAATATAAAATAATCTTAATTTAATATTCTTACAGAAACTGAATAACTCAGTTATCAATTAAACAAAAAACAGCAATCTGAGACTAAAGTGTAATTATCAACATGAGTGGTAACACTACTACTAGTTGCATAATGGCATTTTGTTGTTTTTCAACATGTAAAAATAAAGAATTAGATAAATCGCTTACCTAAAATATCATTTTCTACGGGTTTTGGGGCCATGCCAAATGATTTTAAAACGATCGGATGGAGAAACCTTGGATAAAGCATAGCAAAACATCCAAAAATGATAGAAAACACAGCTACTACCTTTACTGTCGACATATTGGTTGTACAAGAATAGTTTTGTCACGTGATACTAAGGAAATGATTCATGGGAATTTGGCTAAATGTAAAATATCTCTTTAAAAACCGTGAAAGCATGAGATTAAAGTAATTAATCAATATATAAACGACTCAAAAGCTGGAAATATATTAATTAAATTTGTTTATATAGAATTCTTTATTAATATAATTTCTCAAATTGAACTTACTGGACTCGTCTACTAAAATTGATAAAAAATGTAAACTACAAAAAATGTATATCAATATAAATTTATTTTAATTTTATTAATTATTATTCAATTAATTAATTTTCTTATGGTTGGTTTATTTGTTTTAACTTGCCTAAAAATTTTAGGCTAAACGTTTGTGTGGTTACTAGTAATAAAATTATAAAAAGCAATGAAACTTGATCAGTTATTTGTTCAATAATAGTGATTTTATAGGATATAAATTCCTATATTTTACGACCAATAAGTGAAGCACAAACAACTAAGAGAACATACAAATAAATCTTACTACATTCAATAGGTACCAAAAATTTTTTTTACAATTCTGTACAAACACGGTTCCAAATATAATAAATGGTTTCTGGGACCTGATTGGATATGACAAGTCACGCGATTTTCTCTCTACTATGTCTGCGCAGTTAAATTCCAAATGACCTGGAAGTAAGTCAGGCCTGGGTTACTGAGTACATTCCCGCGCAAAACTCAGCGATTCAGAGCCGAACCATAGGATAACATAGCAACAGTCAGTGACTAGATCTGCAACGATACATTCAGTGAAGGTCAGTCAACGAACCAGACCAGCTTCGATCAACAGCTTAGACACACGTTACCATAACAACGCGTATGTCAGTGATGATTTTTCTACATACAACGCCACAGTGAAAGTATGTCTTGTATCCCCTCTTTTTGTTTACTATATTTTAAAATTACTGCTATCGCGCGCAATCAGTCACACACCCGCACACATATTGGCGTACTATACCACTTGCAACAAAAACACTTCGAAACTTTGCAGACCCACTTGCGACAAATCATTTCGAACAATCGAATTTTTCGCCTCTTCATAGCCACAACAAAGAACATTGATTTTTAATATGTAAATACATGTATCTGGCTGTATAAATGTTACAGTCACATTTAGTTTGGTCTTCTTCCTTTTCTGCGAAAATCGTTTCTTCACGCTGTTTATAATTTTGTGTTGTATTTGTGGACACGACACTCGGATTTTATTATTCCACCTAAAATCCGGGTAAACTGATCTCGCAATTCGTAAAGCATAGCTATATGTCATAAAACCACAACTATGCGGCACCAAGTGAGGATCGAATTCACTCGCAATTAATCTTGTGGCGTGCCAATGAGATTTGGTATAAAATTGTTAAGAAGGCTTTGGTGAAGGTTGCGTTTTTGATTAGCACATCACATTTAAACTTTACAAAGAAACACAAAGAAGGAATAACAAGAGATTATTCAGTAATCAACAATAACATGTATTGAAAAACAAGCGAGTACAACAATTGTGTTTGGTGAAACAAAGTTAAGAAAGAGGAAGTAGTTCCCCTTGTACTGATGTGAGATTATAAATATGTGTTAAAAGAACTTTATCACGTTCAGCAATATGTGATAACTGAGTTTAAGTATGAGAAAGTTGTACAAAAGAATGATAGAATTCTGAGTTGGTTACTTGGCTTTTTGGACAGACAGTTCACAGCGTAGTGCAATTGTAATTTTGTGTCTGTGTGTGTGAGTAGAAGAATGAGAATTCACGTACGTGGTTGAGCTCTGGAGATTTACTGTTCTACTACTGTTCTTTTCTTTGATTTTCGTGTTATTTATACTTTCTGAATAGGTTCCAGGAACGAGAGCGCGAAAAATATTGAAAGGAGTGTTATATTATATTATTGGTCAAAAATCAACCAATCACTGATTTTTTCTAAACCAGATTTGGCAAAGTAAATATCAGAAAATTTGATAGGGGTCATGCGATGCATAAATTGTCCTATAGAAAATAGTGCTTATTTTCTATCCAATGGCTATTGAGTATTTTGTGGGCCTGGTGTATGTAAACAACCGCTACAATCTAGCAAAACAATGTTGCTAACCATTATACCATATCGAAGTACCTAAGTTGTTCAATATGAAAACTAAAACAATAATCATGTGTCATGTGTGTAAGGAATTGACTGCCCTTAGTTTTGTTTATTATCTTGTGGATTTGTAGTGAGTGCGAAATAATAAGAAGTCACTTTGCCTACTCTCTTCAAATTCGGTGGACTAAGGAAAAAGATAGAAAGTAATTCGCGAGCCTATGTGAAATTTTCTTTGAAAACCTCGCCTTCAAAGAGATTGACCGGCGAGTTGAGAAGAAGCCGGAAATAAATTCGTGAGCCTGCGTGAAATAGTTTTGGGGCCAATGAAAACATTGTCTATACAGAATTTAGCCGTTGAGCCAAGAAGAAATAAAAAAAAAAGTATGCGAAATTCCTTTTGATATAAAATGAAGTGTGAGAAATTTGTCCCGACTTTCCCACATTAAAGAGCTAAGGTTCAAGGTGACAGAATCGGTAAAAGCAACAATGGCTTAGAGCGGACAATTCTCTCTTTTTACCGAAGAATAAATACTCAAACTCTTGCACGAGGTATAACAATAGAAAAAGAAACTGATTATTTGCATACACAAAAAGTTAAAGAGATATACACAAAATACGAGAGAGAAAAAAGAAAGAAGAAAATTCCTTTAACTTAAAGGAAGAAAATGTATTCATATAAAGGCACGCTCAAAATATTTCTCTGGGCGCCTAAAAGTTATTTAAGCAAGTAAATTATTCTTAAGGGGTTAACACTCACATAGATTTCTTCAAAGCTCTTCTTAAATGGGAAACAATCAGAAGATCCGTAGTTTGTAGTTGAGTGAGTTTGTAGGCCGACTACAGGAATTTCTAGGTTCAAGGAAGCAGATCTCAATTAGTTTTTTAACAGAGGACCGACGTTCCAGCATGTAGATTTCTTTCTTGAAATAGGTTCCAGAAAAGACTGGTGTTACTGTCGCCGACCTGATATTATCACAGACGATGCATATTCGTATATTTTCGTATTTATCGAGAAAAGAAAAGCTCAGAAATATTGGGAACTTTTCCCTCCAAAATTGCTATAAACTTTCCCAGCCCTCTCATTCGCCAGAAAATATATTCTTATCTCTGATAAGAATCAAAGTTTTGGGGGCTGGTTTTGGAGAGCAACGGTCCGACAAATTGTGAGCGTTACCCCCAACTTTATGGCACAATGGTCAAAGTAAGGGTGGTTAAATTCCTTTTTATATTTTCCAACTCTCTCGTTCATCAGAAAATATATTCTTATCTCTGATAAGGATCAAAGATTTGGGAGCCGGATTTTAAAGCAGGAGTGAAAGTTGGGGCAAAGATCAGAAAAGAGGCTAGAACGTGAACTTGTAAAACATTGTAGTAGTGGTTCTCAAATTAAATTCTAATAGAAGAGAAACATTAAATTAATAAGAGAAGAGTGCCTGAAGCCATATAAATGTTTTCATTTCTGTTCACCGTATCCAGCGTTGAAGTTTTCGCCAGTGTAAATTACTCGTAGCACTTCAAAGAATTTTCTCTCGACAAAGCTAAGTATTTCAAACTATCTTTCTTCGTCTACTGCTGAAAGTATGCAACCGTATATCCCTCCTGTGATCAACAAACTCTCTTACTTTTGTTTTAAACATTTTGAATATTATTTTGTGTCAAATCATTTATCTGTTATATGAACATTAGTGGAATCATCTACGTCAGCCAGTTACACCCCATTGGAAAATGCACTCTTCCTCTATGGTAATTACCGCCACATTACATAAACACAGTATATAGACAAGCATTCATTGGTTAATCACCTTCAATCTAGCTTCCTGATTGGTCAGTTTCGACCAATCAAATCACATTATGTCCTTCTTGTGATAATATTCCAGATATTGAATGTTCACTGGCAACGTAATTTCCCTTCTGTTTTCACCACTGTTGTTTTTTTAATTTATCAAAAGCTTTGTTGTTTTTTTAATTTATCAAAAGCTTTGTTGTTTTTCTGCCCACATGAATTCAGTATTCTTTTTTCTCAATTTGGCAAATGGTTCTGTAGTGATTCACAAATAAGAAGCAGGAGTTGCGTCCTCTGTTTTGTTAGGTTATAGTAAAAGGAAGGGAAGTATAATCCCCATGAGGCGCCAGTTTTAATGCGGAAATACAAAGTCTCCCTAAATGAACGCCAACTGTTGAACCAGAAAGACGTGTTTTCTTAAATGAGATCACAAGAAAGATCTCTTCATGCAGATAAGCTTAAAACCATTTTCTCAGCATTAATACATACAAATCAATATATATCTATGTTCTGTGAATAACATGAATCAATTAAATAAGCAATTGTATGTTTAATCTTGTTGCATGCACATCAAAAACTGTTCATATTTTATTTAATGTTTTCATGTAATATTGCGTGGGCGGATAATAAAAAATAATAAAACCGAGAACACGGCCTCAACAGTTCTGTTAGATCTGAATAGTATGGTACATATTTAGGTACCTCCAATAATTCGCTAAAAAATCAGTATAGCATAATGATAAAAGTTCCAAAACTTAATAAAAACAAAGTTTCATCATTAAAATGTTTATGTTATTATTAAGAGGAAAAAACAAAATATTTTTTAAATATTTGTAAAAAAATTTTCCTTCTTTCTAACATGTTCTAAATTTGGGTTTGTTTGGGTTTTTTTTGTTGTTAACTTGGTAAGACTTGTGGTCATTGCCATTTTTTAGTGTAGCAGTTTCGGGGGAAACCCATTAATTTGGAAATTTAATGAAACTTTCAGGACTTATTAAAAAATGAATGAATTTATTT